TGAATTTGTTTTGCTTCTGTTTTTACGTTTTGGTTTTTCGACAACAAAGCCTGTGGGATCTTAGGTCCCTAACCAGGAATGGAATCTGTGCCCCCCAAGCACTGACAGGTGGAGTCTTCACCATTGGACCACCAGGGAAGTCCCTACATGTGTCTTTCTGAATTTTGCTTTTCTTTGGATATGTGCCCAGAAGTGGGATTGCTGGATCATGTGGTAGCTCTGCTCTTACTTTTTTAAGGAATTTACGTACTGTTCATACTGACTGCGCTGGTTTACATTCCCACCAACAGTGTAGGAGGATTCCTTTTTCTCCACACCCTCTCCAGCATTTATTGTTTGTAGATTTTTTTTGATGCTGGCTGTTCTGATGGGTGTGAGTCGATATCTCAGTGTAGTTTCGCGTTTCTTGAGTGATTACTGACACTGAGCGTTTTGTCATGCGTCTTGGCCATCTGTGTGCCCTCTGTGGAGAAATGTCTGTGTAGATCTTCCACCCATTTTTTGATGGGGTCTTTTTTATATATATATTATTGAGCTACATGAGCTGTTTCTTCTATATGTACAGGAGTTTAGAGTATGTACTTTGGAATTAGACTTGGAATCCCAGGTCTCCTGTTTTCTAGCTGTATAATCTCGTAGAGGTTACTTAAGTCTCAGTGCCTCAGTTTCCTTGTCTCTAAACTTGAAACAATAGGGATAACCCCCATAGGACTGTTATGAGGATTGATGAGTTTATTACCTAACGAAAGCATTTTGTACAGTGCCTATCCCATAGTAAGCACCCAATAAGTGCTTGCTGCATTTGTTAATACTACAGATTTTTAAGGTGCATGTCTTCTGTGTTTTACAGTCTTTCTTTTTTGTTTCCAGACTTAATTTGTTAATGTAGTTGAATGTCTTCACATGATAAAAATTGTTTCTCCACGTACAGAAATTATTGACTTGTCTTTTTTTATTTACTTATCTTTTAAAAATTGGAATGTTTCCTTAAAAAAAAAAAAAACCAAACTAATAACTTGCTATCACTTACCATGCTGATGTGTTTTATCTCAAACAATAATAGGTCAGCATTACCTTTTCCTCTAATAATGGGGGATTTGAGGCTTGTCATATGAATAAAACTGAGCACTCACTAGAGGTGTTGGTTGTTGGTTTAAGGTAACTGTTGTATTTTTCAGAGTTGGTTGCAAGCAAAACCTTTCAGGGTAGAGCAGTGGTGAGAGCTACAGTTCTTTAGATTTCAGTTTCTCCTTTGTGGAGTAAGTTTATTATCTGCTGCTGTGATTGCTATGTGAGTTTAATAAGTTAGCATATGTGATGTCCACAGTATGGCGCTTAGCATATATGAAGCACTTAATATTCTGAGACAGTAATTAGAGAAAGATAGAGTTTATTTTAAAAAATCTGATTTTTGTCACCTAATATTTAATCTGAATATATAAAGTTCTCTGGTAATAGCCAGAATTAAAACTGTGGTTCTCACTTGTGTGTTGTTTTAATGTATTTCAGAAGAGGTAGGAAATTTGACACGGGAGGAACTGTAGACTATATATAGGATGATAGCGATCATCCTTCATTATTTAACAATAGTAAAAACAATATGTTTTATAGTACTTTATAATTTACAAAGGTTTTTTGTCTATCATCTCTCAATAAATCATCATGGTAATTATTGGAATGCTGTGTGTGCGCTAAGTCACTTCAGTCATGTCTCTTTCTTTGTGACCCTATGGACTGTAGCCCGCCAGGTTCCTCTGTCCATGGGACTCTCCAGGCAAGAATACTGGAGTGGATTTTCATGTCCTCCTCCAGGGGATCTTCCCCACCTAGGGATCAAACCTGGGTCTCTTGGGTCTCCTGCATTGGCAGGCAGGTTCTTTACCACTAGCACCACCTGGGAAGTTCATTTGTTGGAAGGTCAGATGTTAACAGATAACTCCCTAGGTTCTGAGAGGAGAAGTATCTTGTCCAAGTTTTCCTTTTGAGGGACCAGAACATAGCCCTTTTTCTTTGCATACTTGGACTGTGGCTTGGACTGTGGCTTGGTGGGCTCAGGTGTGACTCTTGATAATCATGTTGTTGTTGAGTCACTAAGTTGTGCCTACTTCTTTGCAGCCCCATGGACTGTAGCCCACCAGGTTCCTCTCTCCATGGGATTTCCCAGGCAAGAATATTGGAGTGGGTTGCCATTTCCTACTCCAGGGAATCTTCCCAGACCAGATACTGAATCTACGTCTCCTGCATGGACAGGCAGATCCTTTACAGGTGACCTACCTGGGAAGTCCTCTAGCTATCGTTGTTGTTGGTCAGTTGCCAAGTCATGTCTGACTCTTTGCAGCCCCGTGGACTGCAGCCCACCAGGCCTCTCTGTCCCTCTCCATTTCTTGGAGTTTGCCCAAGTTCATGTCCGTTGAATTGGTGATACCATCCAACCATCTCATCCTGGGTCGCCCTCTTCTGCTACTACCTTCAGTCTTTGCCAGGATCACAGACTTTTCCAGTGAGTCGACTCTTCACATCAGGTGGCCAGAGTTCTGGAGCTTCAGCCTCAGCATCAGTCTTTCCAATTCAGAGTTGATTTCTTGTAGGATTGACTGGTTTGCTCTCCTTGCAGTCCAGGGGACTCTTAAGGGTCCTCTCCAGCACTGCAGTTGAAAAGCATCAATTCTTTGGTGCTCAGCCTTCTTTATGGTCCAACTCTCACATCCATGCATGACTCCTGGAAAGACCATAGCCTTGACTATACAGGCCTTTGTCAGCATAGTGATGTCTTTGCTTTTTAATACTCTGTCTAGGTTTGTCATAGCTTTCCTTCCAGGAAGCAATCATCTTCTAATTTCATGGCTACAGTCACTGTCCACAGTGATGGTAAGTCCCCTAGTTATCATGCATCTCATCAATTAAAATTATATCTCTCCCTAAGTCCTTCAGTTATTTCAGTTGCTCAGTTGTGTCCGACTCTTTGCGACCCCATGAACCACAGCACACCAGGCCTCCCTGTCCATCACCAACTCCTGGAGTTTACTCAAACCCATGTCCATTGAGTCAGTGATGCCATCCCACCATCTCATCTTCTGTCATCCCCTTCTCCTCCTGTGCTCAATCTTTCCCAGCATCAGGGTCTTTTCAAATGAGTCAGCTCTTCACTTCAGGTGGCCAAAGTATTGGAGTTTCAGCTTCAAAATCAGTCCTAACAATGAATACCCAGGACTGATCTCTTAAGTCCTTAGTCTTTCTTAAATGGCATAATTGAAGCCTTTCTTCCCTGCCCATTCATGCTTTCTTGGTTTTCCAAGGTTAACAGATTTCTCGTAGGTATACAGCCCCATATTTTTTTACTTCTCAGACTTTTCCAGGTAAAATGGGCAATGTAAATATTAAGAGTATACTATACAGAGGCTATACCATACAAAGCCTTTGACTGTGTGGATCACAAAAAACTGGAAAATTCTGAAAGAGAAGGGAATACCAGACCACCTGACCTGCCTCTTGAGAAACCTATATGCAGGTCAGGAAGCAACAGTTAGAACTGGACTTGGAACAACAGACTGGTTCCAAACAGGAAAAGGAGTACGTCAAGGCTGTATATTGTCACCCTGCTTATTTAACTTATATGCAGAGTTTGACTCATTGGAAAAGACCCTGATGCTGGGAGGGATTGGGGGCAGGAGGAGAAGGGGACGACAGAGGATGAGATGGCTGAATGGCATCACTGACTCGATGGACATGAGTGACTAAACTCTGGGAGTTGGTGATGGACAGGGTGGCCTGGCGTTCTATGGTTCATGGGGTCGCAAAGAGTGGGACACGACTGAGCGACTGAACTGAACTGATACAGAGGCTGGAGAGTTACTTCACTCCCACCCACATCCTGGAAGAGAAGCTTCCTGGTTCCCCAGCTCATGGAACTGCCTCGCCTCACCATGCCTCCCACCATTGCAGGGCCTGCTGCACTTAGCCACTGTCGCGACTTCTAGCACAGTAGGGTTTTCCCCGCTTTTGACCTACTACAAATCTTAGCAGATCATGCAGCAGTGCTGTTTTGTACATTGTCTTTCTCTCAGGCTTATCTTCATGAGCTCCCTCCATACTGCTGCATGTGAAAGCTTAGCGGGGGTTTAATTCTAATTGGGATGCGGCATCTCCTTCATTCTACCCTTAGTAGTGAGGCAGGCAGAGTAAGGGCAGTGTTTCTTCTGTGGTGTTCGGCTAGACTAGAGCAGTTACTTCTTGGCTTACTAGGTTGTCCCTCGTTGTCCTTTGGGTAAAGAGAGCAGGCTTCTCTTGGGGCTTTTTGTGTGTGTTTGTGTCCATTGGTGGTGTTGGATTGCCATCGCCTCTAGTTACCAGTTAGGGAGATGGATGAGGTTGAAACAAAACCCAGGGCACTCACTGCTTCGGCACTCTTCATTTTGGGATCGCCTGCCATCCTTCCTCTTTCTTCTACTTTTCAGAGCCTTCTTAGTGTTGTATTTTTATACAGTGACCAGAGTTTTTAGCTGTGTTTAGTGGAGGATTAGGGAAAAGCACCCTGGCATCCCAGGTGGCGCTGGTGGTAGAGGACCCACCTGCCAGTGCAGGAGCCATAAGTGATGTAGGCCTGATCTCTGGGTCGGGAAGCTCCCCTGGAGAAGGAAATGGCAACTCACTCATTCCTGCCTGGAGAATCCCACGGACAGAGGAGACTGGCAGGTTATAGTCCATAGGGTTGCACAGAGTCAGACATGACTGAAACAACTTAGCACTCACTAGGGAAAAGCACATCTATTTTGTTTTTCTGGAAGTGAAAGTCTGTTTTATTTTGATACCTTTTTAATAAACTTTTATAGTCATTAGGAAAAATAAATGAAATATTTTATGCATACATGGTCAGCTAACATGTATTCACCAAAGCAATTAAATTTTTGGTAAAATATAACCTCATGTAATTTTTTTTAATATGAAGTACAAACCGAAGGATTTGAACTCTGTGTGAATTTAAATCCTTATGTTTACTGCAGAATCTTTTAGCCGAGAAAGTAGAACAGCTGATGGAATGGAGTTCCAGGCGCTCAGTCTTCCGAATGAATGGTGACAAATTCCGAAAATTTATAAAGGCACCACCTCGAAACTATTCAATGATTGTTATGTTCACTGCTCTTCAACCCCAGCGCCAGTGTTCTGTGTGCAGGTAATGTATGTATTTAAAAAATTAACTATTATTGTGTTATTATGTACTTATTGCAGTTAAGATAAACGCATATAATAGACTTAAGCTTTGGTTCGGGCTTCTCTGGCAGTCTGCTGGTTAATGTTCCCTGCTGTCAATGCAGGGGGCACCACGGGTTTGATCCCTGGTTGAAGAATTAAGATTCCACATGCTGCACGGGGCATTAAAAAAAAAAGAAACATTTGTTCAGTGTTGTAGTCTGCTGTAATTAAGTGCATTTAAATGTAAGCTCAAACTTAGTGTTTTCTGAGAGGTGATTTTGATAGGCTAATATTTTTATATTGTGTAGACCAATCCACAGGTAATCATAAAACAGATTTTTGGCTTTATGTCCTGTGTAGTTATGTATATTATGGAATTCTGTTTGAAAATTGCCTTGTAGGTCACCAACTTATATCTCAGGGGCAGTGAAGTAGCCCGATTAAATACACTCAACTTAAATTGTTTAATAGAAAGATTTTAATGGACTTAAGTCCATTTACCTTTTAGTACCTCTAGTGTTGAGAATTTTGTTCCTGTGATGTAGAAGTAAACAATTTGAAATGAATGAAATATTTTTCATTGGGAACATACCAAAGAAAGTTTTGGAGGAGTATAAATATATATACAACAGTGCTTATTTTACATAGATCTTTTAATTTTGGGATAGTTGTAGTCTTACATGCAATTTTAAGACATGATACAGAGAAATCCTATATACCTTTTACTCAGTGACCTCCAGTGCTAACATCTTTTGAAGCAATAGCACAGTTTCACAAGCACGATGTTGGTATTGATACAGTAAAGATGCAGAGCAGTTCTTCACAATAAGTCTCCCTTCTGGTGCCATTTATTGCCACACGCACCCCATCTCCCCACCTTCTGAATTTATTCTCCATTTCTATAATTTCATCATTTCAAGACTGTTATGTAAATGGAATCATACAACACATGACCTTTTGGATTTGGCTTTTTGTTTTTATACTTCTAACTCCTTCAAAATCTATCCAAGTTGTTGCATTTATCAGCACTTCATTGTTTTTATTACTGAGTAATATCCTATCCCTGGTGGCTCAGCGGTAAAGAATTTGTCTGCCAGTGCAGGAGACATGGGTTTGATCCCTGGGTTAGGGAGAAGCAAATGGCAACCCACTCGAGTATTCTTGCCTGGGAAATCCTGTGGACAGAGGAGCCTGGTGGGCTGCAGTCCATGGGGTCTCAAGAGTCAGACACGACTTACTGACTAAACAACAATATCCTGTGGTATGGACGTACTGCAGTTTGTTTAACCAACCATCTGCTAAAAGAATCCTAGGTGGTTTCCAGTTTTTGGCTATTAGAAATACAGCTGTTATGAACACTCTTGTACAGGTTTGTGTGCACTGAAGTTTTCATTTCTCTGAGATAAATTGCCAGAGTGTGTGATGGCTGAGTTGCATGGTAGTTACATGCCAAAATGTTTTCCAGCGTGGCTGTATCATTTTATATTCTTACCAGCAGTGTGTGAAGGGCCTAGTTTTTCCATATCCTTACCAGCATCAGTGTTGTCATTGTTTTATTTTAGCCATTCCATGGGTATGTAGTTTTATTTTGTGGTTTTATTTTGCATCTCACTGATGTAATGGTGCTGAACATCTTCTCATTTACTTTTTTGTCATCTGTGTATCACCTCTTCACCAAAGTATCTGTTCATGTCTTCTGTGCTGCGCTTAGTTGCTCAGTCATCTCTGACTCTTTGTGACCCCATGGGCTGTAGTTCTCCACGCTCCTCTGTCCAGGGGGATTCTCCAGGCAAGATGTGGTCCTTAAATATTTCCTCCTAGTCTATGGCTTGGCTTTTCATCCTCATAACAAGATCTTTTGCAGATTTCAATTTAGTGAGTCCAATTTTTCAGTTTATCTTTTACAGATCTTACTTGTCTTGTCAAATTGAACTCTTTGCCTAGCTCTCAATCACCAATTTTATTTTTTTTCCTCTTAAGTGTTTTTCGAAAAGTTTTAAAAGTTTTATGTTTTACATTTTCATCTGATCTCCGGGAGAAAGCATTCAGTCTTTATCACTTATTATGTTATTAGCTGTTAGATTTTTACTAATATTCTTTATAATTGAGAGTGTTCTTTACTAGTTTATTGAGAGCTTTTGTCATGAATGGGTATTGAATTTTGCCTAATTTAGGGAAGTTAATTGATAGGATTTTTCTTCTTTAGGTTGTTCATATGGTAAATTACATGGCTTCCCTAGTGGCTCAGATGGTAACAAATCTGCCTGTAATGCAGGATACCTGGATTTGATCCCTGGGCTGGGAAGATGCCCTGTAGAAGGGAATGGCTACTCATTTCAGTATTCTTGCTTGGAGAATTACATGGACAGAGGAGCCTGGCGGGCTACACTCCATGGGGTTGCAAAGAGTCGTACACGACTGAGTGACTAACACTGTGGTAGATTACAGTGGTTGATTTTCAGCTGTTGAATCAACTTTGCATTTTGGAATATATCCCGCTTGATTGTTATATTCTTTTTTAGTATTGCTGAATTGAATTTGCTGATATTTTGTTGAAGACTTTTATATTTCAAGTTCATGTCAGATGTTAGTTTATATTTTTCATTACTCATGCTGTCTTTGTCTAGTTTTGGTATCATGGTAATACTTCATAAAATACATTGGGAAATGTTCCCTCATTTATTTTCTAGAAGTAATTTGGGAACTTAGTTTTAGAAATTGTGTTAAATCTTTAAATGTTTGATCGAATTCTCCAGTAGAATTGTCTTGACCTGAAGTTCTTAAATTACATATTCCATTTCCTCAGTTGTTAAGGATAATTCAGTTTTTCTGTTTCTTCTTGGATTTTTCAGTTTTTGTTTTTCAAGAACAAACACTTTTTATGTGGTGACTCCACATTCAGACTGTTCACATTGTGTATTTATATGTAGACTTTATTTGGATTTCTAAACCATTTTGAGCTTTAGTGGAAAACAAAATCATTAGTAACATGAGCCAGTGGAAAAAAACTAATCAGTTTCTGTCCGACTAGCTTCCAGAAAGGGAATTTCAGTGTTCTGAAATTTTTATGAAAGATTTCATCACAATCTAGTAATGAGTGTATGTTGAGAAAGGTCAAGGTAGGTTAAAAAGATGATGAGCAAACTATTTTGAAAAACAGCATTTCAGATAATTCTGAGTCCCCTTCCTACCAATTTGAAGACCAGTACTTAAGTGGACATTAACATTTGTCAGCATTGGGCCAGCACTTAAGAACAGGGTATGTTTATGTTCATCTACGGGATGCTGAATAGCCCTTGTGAAGCAAAAATACATCTTAATTGGCATTTGGTATAACAGTTCAAATTCCACAAAAATTCAGACTATCCTCTGGCATCCTGCATTGCCATATATTAATTTAGGGAAATCATTTCTTTGCTTCTAGAAACTGAATATATTGATTTTCTGTTTTCATTATTATGAAGAGATCTATTTAATTATTATATTTTTGCGACTGTAATTTAGAAAGGGCTTACCAATTGACTTAGTGGGAAAGAATCCACCTGCAATTCACGAGACCGGGATTCGATCCCTGGGTCACTAAGATCCCCTGGAGAAGGGAATGGCTACCCACTCTAGTATTCTTGCCTGGAGAATTCCATGGACAGAGGAGCCTGGCTGGCTACAGTCCATGGGGTCATACAGAGTTGGACATGACTTAATGACTAAATAACAACAATCTAGAAAGATTTTATTATCCAAGTATTTATTTCACAGTTACATATAATTGTATGTTATTTGATAACATAAACCACAACATAATGTAAAAGGTATATCCTGTAGATAATAGTTGACTTAATGCATTATGTTGTTAAATTGTTAAATATGGACCCTCAATTTTTTAATGATGCTTAACTCAAAATAACCTGTATTTGCTTGTTTATTATAGCCTGTTTTGTAACAAACTTAAATTTTAGAGTAGTTTTAGATTTATGAGAGAAAAAGATTGAAGTTATTAGAAAAAGTCATTTCACAGGTTAGAAAGAGGGTGAAAGTTGTTAGAGAAGAAAGAACAGGTGAAGCTTTAGAGGCAAATAAAAAGTGTAGAGTAGATATGTGGTTCCCATGCCCAGATATTTTGATTTGTTTTTTTTTGCGGGGAGGACATTTAAAAATGCTCTAGGTAATCCTAGTGTGAAGCTAGGATAGAGAAAGGGAAGGTGAGAAGCAGTTTACTGATTCATAGCTTTTAAAAATTTAATTTCATTGAGGACAAATGGGAGTAGGAAGCTTAACTAATTGGAATGACCATATGGCATTGACAAGGATCCTTGATGAAACTGGAATACTCAAATTTTTAGTGAAGAATCTCTGGAATAAAACTATTTTCTTCCCCAGTACTCAGCAATTTAGGAGCAAGAGCATCCTCTGTAGGGACAAAGCAGTTTGCTTTATTCTATGAAGTGGACTAGGCAAATATTCTGACAGCACTAACGAGAGTATATTTGAAATGTATAAATGTGAGTTAGAAGTTGGATAGGGGGTCAGAGAAGCCATGGGACAGTGATAAACTAGGTGTGATACAATTAAGCTAGATTTTCTTTCTTTCTTTAATTTTGTGCTTAGTTACTTTGCATGTTGCATTAGTTTCTACTGTACTGCACAGTGAATCAGCCATACATACATACATACATACATATTCCCTCTTTGTCACCACAGAGCATGCGTACTTTGCTATCTCATTAGTTATCTATTTTATATATTTTCATATGAGGTTTTGTGTGAAAAGGGGATGGAGTTGAAAATTAGGAGGTTGTAAAGGGTTGATTTAATAAATAAGTAAATTGCCGATGTATAGTGTAGATGATTGTTGGCATAATAGAGAAGCTTTATGAGTGATAAGACTGGGGTCATTTGTACACTATACACATGCATATTGAAATAACTCAGTATTTTAATGGAACTGGAGGGGAGAAACAGTAAGTGAGCTGAAAGAGGGAT